GGAGCTAGTTTCACCATTTTTGAAACTGTATCAAGCAGATCGGCCACTTTTACCATTTTTTGCTGCAGATATCCAGGATTTGGTATTACATAGTGTGCAATTATATAACATTCTGAAGCCAGAATCTACAGATAACTTAAATTCTCTGGAGAAACTGTGCCATTTTAATTTTTGTGATGAAAAGAATTATGTCTCTCTGACAAAAATCAGTGTAGGTTTTAAAGGTGACCAAATTTTAAAGCAGTTGGCCTCAAAAGTTATTTCTGACCGGGATCATATTAATATAAAGAAAGATTGCAGAAAGTTTATCACCAAAATGTTAGAAACTTTACTAGAGAAATGTCCAATAAACTATTCTGTTGTTAGAAATGTTGCTTCCAACAATCCAAAATTAATGTCAGAAAACAAGAGCAAGTGTGTTCTAAAAATGAGAAACATATTAAATTACTTAAGTCAAAAATAGAAAATTGAGGAAAAAGATTGTGACAAAATTAAGCTGCAATTTGCATCATGTATAGATTAATTACGTCATTTTTACTTCATGAATCGTGAAACACTTTATTTGTATTTTTTTAATATCATGTATAGATTAAGTATGTTATTTTTACTTTACATCAAGTGCTAATTTTTTTTCTTCTTAGTCCTAAAAAAGTGCTAATTTTTTTTTAAATAATTGAGCAAGAACCCTGATTTCAGATTTTTTCATTGTTAATTTATGCATAAACTAAAATAAAATTCAAAATTAGACTGGATGTCGCTTCAGACCTGTAAGTCAATAGTCTGACGGAAAACTCAATTTTAAGAATAATATTGATAAAATGATACAATGAAAAAAGTTTTATTCGTCACACATTCGTTATATATTCTCCAAATAAATTGCTGAAATTTCAATCATTAAATATTTTCAAAATAATAAATAGTCTATCCTTGATTAGCATGTTTAGAATTCCTAATGAAACTAAGGAAATTATTGCTAAATAACTTCAGGTATGCACCAAAGGAAGGTAGATTATTTAGGGTTGTATATCACATCATAAAATTGGGAGCTGCTGACTAAGTTATTAATTACTCCATTTCTTTAATTATATTGCAGTAAAGTACAATTAATACATTGCATATTTTTTTTTGTATCATTAAAAGCAATAAACTTAATGTTTTAAATAATTTTATTGTTATTTTATGATGTGTATTACTTTACTTTCTGCTGAGAATTTTCATTAAACAAATAGATTTGTATTATTTAAAATTTTGAACTTTTTTTAAAAAAGGAGACTGCACTAAACAAAAAATCATAAGGTAGTGCATGGAAGTATTCTTTTTAATCTGGCCATTTATGAAGTACTTAGTGACGTAACAGAGCAGCAACGCACTCTGAAAAAAAGAGAAAAACTTGGAGTTCTCAGGGAATTCTATTTTATTTTATAACTGGTGTTGAACAGCCTACTTCATTATCAGTTAAGGACTATCCGTATTCAACTCTGTAGCCTTGTAATTTTGAACCCAACACTGAAGACAAGGTAACTGCTGGATCAAGCATGGAATCCAAGTAGCCTTTGCACATTTGCATCACACGGAGGGGAAAACCACAATAACCTCCCACAGTTAGCCCAACAGCAATGAAATTCTAACCCATGATCCACCTACTACTGAAAATATTTTACACCACTGTGGTTGGTGCGAGACAGGAACAGAATTCATATCCACTGAGATTTAGAACACCCTGAGCCACCGGAACAGGAAATTTAAAAATGCTCTTTAATAGAAGGCCTGGAATTCTCAGAGAGATTTACTTGCAATTCTAGAAGATTTTAAAATATCAGAAATTAGCAGCATTGTTTTTCATATTTATTTAAAAGAATTGTGACTTCTGGTTTCATACAATTTTATTTTAATTGCTTTATTATATTATCAGGTTTTTTTTTATGTGTCAAACTATATTTCATAATAAGTACTTATTCTGTGGCACTTTCATTTTCCCCCCTGTTATAATTGCTATTTTCATAAATATTTCAAATTTAATTTTTAAATAAATTTAATTAATAACATGTTAATAACAATTACAATTAATACATGCTATGTTATTAATTAATAACATTTAATTAATAACATCAACTATTAACATGTTTTAAAATATTAAGATAATAAATATGATTTGATTGATAAATTTAAACATTTTGTAAAAATTTGATTTAATGAAGTCAAATTACAAATTAAATAAAATTTAAAATTAATAATTTTGTTTTAAATTGTTCTTCTACTTGTTTAAATATTAAGTCTAAACATAAATAAATACATATTTAAATTACAGTTAAAATTATGTTAGTTTAAATCACTAAAATTTGCAAAATTTTTTAATTTTTCTCTGGAAATCTTAAGGAAATTTAGTTTTATCTGAATGGTGATGACCATCAGATAGTTTTGAATTGAAAATCTCATAACTGAAACAGGTTTTAACCGTGTTATGGTGTTTCCTCTGTAAAATAACAAGATAAATTCGTATTTTTCTCTAATGCAAATTTGCAGTTTATGAGAGTTGAAAATCTCATAACTGAAACCGGTTATAACCGTGTTATGGTGTTGTGTAAAATATAACTGTAAATTTGCATTTTTTTCGTATGTAAAATGTACTTGGGTATTCCTTTTATTTTTTCATTCTATCTCTATTTCATTTGTTGAGTCAAGAGGGTACATACCTTTTTAAAAAGTGCTGTTTTTTGATTTACGTTTTTTAAAAGCCCTTATAGGTGCTCTAATTTATTCTCTAATTCTAAATTACAAAAAATTGATTTTCACAATTTTCTTTGCAATTTTTATCAGAAAGTAGTTATTTTATCATGATTATGCAAAAGTTCTTAATATGTTTTTGAATTTTATTTATTTTATGTTTATAAATTAAGAACTTTAAATGATGGAAAAAAATAATTTTTATTACTGCACAGATCCTAATTAAGTTTGTTTTTTTGGAAAGAGATTAAAAATATTTTTTTCTTAAAAAGTACCTAAAAGGTGCTTATTTTTTTGTTGAAAAATCTGGCATCTCACCTTAGTAAATAATTTTTAAAATAGTTGTAATCGTAAAATTTCTTAGCCGTTTTCAGTAAAAATGTTTTAAATCTTTTTTTCGTGATATCAAAAACGATTAAACAAAGGTCTTAACTCTTACGCACACTGTGAAAACTTTTCAGGGAGTGAAAATGAATAAAAAAAGTTAGTCTATTAAATTTAATGAAAATTTTGTTGCTGGAAATATTTTTGAAAAAACTAAGTTTTTTTTCAAAAAGATGAAAGTAACATTTTAAGGAATTTATTTATTCCTAGTTTGATTTCTTTGTTAAAAAAAGTGGAAACTGTAATTCATTTTACAATTTTTACTCTAGTATTTCTTTAGATTGAGATTTATTATTAAAAATTAAAATGCTCTTTATGTAAAACTCCACTTTAATGGTGCAAAACATCTCAATTCTTTTGTCAATATTTTGCATTTTCAAAGTAATTTGCATCACACGATTCTTCAATTATTTATTCTTCAAACTAATTATATTCTTTTTCCAAACTAATATTCAATTATTAACTGATTGAAAACTTAATTTTCTTCAATAATATACAAAAGTGAAACAAAAAAGAATGGTTATTTAATATTCAATTATTCAAGCTAATTTATGCCATGTTTTGTTATAATTGTCTTTTAGTTAACTTTTAATCTTAATTCTTTCACATGATTCTGTATGTGTGATAAAATATTAAATTATTTTTATTATACTTTTTGTCAACCTTTTTCACAGATTTGGGAGCCTCTCCTAACATAATAAATGGACAAGGAGTTACCCCTTTGCATGAAGCAGTTAAGAGAAAAAATTTAGAAATTATCAAGTCCCTTCTCATTGCTGGTGCTGATCCTATGTACAAATGTTCCTCTGGGTATGTGTTTAAAAATCGTGTTAACCCTTTTGTGATTCGTATTTCTTCTTTGAATTTTTTCCTGTTTTTTGTGTTTTATTAACAATTAAACATTTAAGGAAATATATTGTTGATTTTTGTATTTAATTTTTTAATTTCAAGGGTAGGAAGTTTACTTCTCTTGGAACTATTATTCCATCATACAGAAAATAAAATTTAATAGTAATTATTTGCCATAAAAAGGTGAGAAGTCTTAATGCACAAGGTTATATAATCATACACATGTAGCGAGTCCTCTTTTTTTGTCCTAGATTTCCTACAATGTCTATAGTTGGAAATCATCAATCAAATGTGGTAATTCTATTCAGCCTATTGAACAATAGATGGCAGCACAAAATTGAAGCAGGAATTAGTGAAAATTGTGGGCCATATTTCTTTTTTTTTTTTTAATTTCCCCAGTTTTTTGTATTTTATTAACAATAAAACAATTAGCATTTCAGGAAATATATGTTTCATTTTGTAGATTTTTGTATTTACATTTAAATTTTAAGAGTAGGAAGTATACTACTTTTGGAACCATTTACCATGATACAGAAAATTAAATTTAATGATAATTATTTGCTATAAAAAGGTGAGAAGTATGTCATAATGCACAAGGATACGTCACATTCTGCACATGTGTAGCAGGTCCTCTTTTTTTTTTTTATTTTTTTATCCTGCATTTCTTATAATGTCTATAGTTGAACCATCATTGAAACCATCAATCTAATGTGGTAATTATATTTAACATTTTGAACAATAGATGGCAGCACAAAGCTGAAACAGGAATTAATGTTTTCATGATTATAATAGCAAAGCCAATATATTATAATGAGTTTTGCACAGATGTATTTTGTAAGATTATATAAATAGGATGGAACTGATCTTCTCAAGGTCCACAAAAGGGTTAAAAATGCATCAGATGTATAAAAATTTGTGATGAATAGATTTGAATTTATATTTTTTGTAATAAAATATATAGCTATACTAATGCATTGATTGTAACAACACTTATGTTGAAATAAATTTTGAAAGTCAATTTTTATTTATATCTGAAAATATTTCGAAATTTTGTATTTAAAGTCCTGGTTTATTTTTTAATTTTAAAAATGCATTTATCATAGTTATGAAAATATATTTTTTTAAAATTTAGAAACATGTATTTTTAAAACATTTTATTCGACTATATCTTCTTAATCGACTTTGTTTTAAAAGGCAAAATTAAAGAAATGCATGAAGTTAAATGTTTTTCACTGGCTTAAAAATCATAATATTGATGTAAAACATTATGCATAAAATATTATAATTGAATATTTTTGTACATTCATATCGCGGTATATTTTTTTCTGTTTGAATATATTTACTATCCCATTTGCTGTTCTTTTAATTACAAGTTCTTTTTGATATTTTTAAAAATATCAAAAAGATATTTTATATTATAAGCATAATATATTAAGTTAAATATTTTTGTCAGTCAAATATTTTTAAGAGGGCAATTACTGTTTTTGTTGCTTTGAAACTTTTTAATAATAATTTATTTTTTTAGTATGTTTTTTAAAACTTTTTTGTTATTAATTTCAAAAGTTCCTAAATAGTAGCTTCTAAAATCACATTAATAATACTATTCATGTTTTATATATTAATGATTAAATAATTATTTTACAATTATAATATTTTGCATTTTAGAGATGTGGGCAATGATTATTCAATCAGACCACTATCCGATTAATACAACTGTTTAAATTTTTTCTATTAATTTAATAAATTAATTTCTATTAATTTAATAATTTTATTAAATAAGTAAATTTTCCTATCTATTAATATATATATATATCAATAGATAGGAAAATTTACTTGGAAACAAAAAATAATTTTTGCATGTTAGAACTATATTTGAATTATATTAAATTTTATTTTTTCTTTCCTGTAGAAAATATTGTGATAAGACGCCTTTAGACCTAGCTGAAAGTAATCAAAGTTTGTTAGAATTATTTTCTGAATTTGTTGTTGGAGATTCAGAATCAGAACACAGTAAGTTACTATAGTTACTTACTAAGTTGAAAGCTATTAAATTACTATTTTAAAAGTTATTAAATTAAAACTAGAGATTCTATTAAACATATTACTGCTTGTGGTATATTTCACATAGAGCAAACTAGTGTTTAATTCTAGCTTTGGCAAATAAAAAAATAGCCAATGTTTTTAAATTTTTGCTTTTTCTAGTGTAACCCTCAATATCTTCCATAACCTTGTTTTCCCATGCACTTTTTGCCCATGTAACATTTATATTTCCAATTTTTTACTAAAATTTTAACTTAATTTCTTTTAATATGCATATATTCATTCAGTTGCACCTAAACTTCAGAAAGAAATGTTTCAGACTTTAGTTTTTATTTCATTTAAAGAGAAGTTTGTGATACTTTTTTTAGGCATTTTTATTATTATAATCTTTAAATCATTACTCCTGTTTATTAAAATCAAACTTTTATTGCTATCTGTTCTACAAAAATGGTCAAGGTACTCAGTGATATATTTTATTTTTATTCTTTTTATGTTTTCTAAAGAGATTAAAAATTGCAACAAAGAAATCAATTTACTCTTACTTTTTTGTGTTTACTTGTACTTTTATTATTATTTTATTTTTGTTATTAACTTTTGCAGTTTATATTCTGAAATCAATGAACTACGTTAAATTTTTTATTTTTCTTTAAAATAATTTTGATTAAGTAGGACAACTGTTTGTTTTTATTAAAAAGATTTTTTTGTTCAAAATGAAAGCTTGCAAATTAAAAGATAATAAATTTTTCAAAATATTCATTTTGAATTTTAAAAGTATTCATATTGCTCAATGATTGCCATACTGTATATATTATTAATCTGTTAATATTTTGCAAAAAGGAATTATTTTTCAAAAACAATCTTTTTATATTGACTTGTAANTGAAGTTGGTAAACAGTGGTTAAATGAAACGTTACCAAATTTACTTCAAGGATACAGTTAAAATGATGTTGTCAATATGATGAAATGGGTTAATTTTTAAATGTCTTCCAAATAAGACTGTGATGTTTAAGGATGAAAACTGCTCAGGGGGTAAAATCAGCAAGGAACGTTTGACTGTACTAGTTGAAAGAAATGTGTCTGGGACAGAGAAATTGCCCTTACTTGTTATCGGAAAATTCCGAAATCCCCGATGTTTCTCTTGTGATACTCTTTATGTATAAATGCACAGCGCATAGTGATCTACCTAATTTGAAAGCAGTAAATTTGCAGTTTCTCCCGCCAAACACAACAGCAAAGTTTCAGCTGATGGACCAGAGTATTATAAAGTGCTTCAAACAGTCTTATCGTAAATGGCTTGTCAGAAAAATAATTTTAAATATTGTAAGCATTTAGAGGATTTGTAATTAATAAGCATTAATTAAGTAATCCGACAATATTTTGAAAGTCCAAAACCGAAACTAACGGTAAGTCGAACTTCCGATATGTCGAAGTTTTTTGTCAGTCCTATCAGATTCGAGTTATCGCGAATTCACTGTAAAATGCTCTTTAAAAATTATGGTGCTCTTTCAAAAAATTAAAGAAAGAACATACTTTCTAGAGCGAATTATCTTTTAAACTTCTCTGATTTCTGAATTTTTTTAAAATTTATTTCGTATTTTTTTCCCTGTCATTTTAAAATTCTAGCTGAAGCATGCCAGTCATTGACTAATTTTTCTTAATTCCGAAATGAAAAGAGAAAAATCAGGAGTATTTCTTTCCTTACCCTTGAACAGGAAAAGTATTTTTAAAATATAATTCTGCAGAAAAAAAAAATTATTTGCTTTTGTATTTTTTTTAAGCTGTTTTATTGCTTTAACTCTTTCTTTACTCTGTTTTTTGATTTTAAAATCTATAAATATGACAATGCAGAGTATAACAGTTTTATAATGCTTTTTTTAAATTTATTGTTTTTGTCAGAGTAAATAATAACTTCGTTAAGTCATCTTGGAAAAACTCATGGAAAGTCATATAAAGTCATGGATTTGAAAACCTAAATTGTAGCAGATACCCTGTAAAGAGTATGTTTCCTCACTTTTTTTGTCTGTGTTAATTCGTCGTTCTCTTCAAGGTAACGAAGCGGTACCGTCTGAACATTCTTCTAAGACAACTTTAGATGACTTGAATTCATCTCTTATGTCTTTAACAGCTTCTGAAGTGCCAATTAAGAATCTTTATACACCTCAAGTAAGTGGTATCCATTTTAGTTGGATTAAAAACTGTTCAAATAATGTCAGTTAGATTAATAATCTTCCTCTCGATTTATCTTGGAGAGCATCTGTTATTATCAGGTATCATATCCTTCTTTGGATCCAATGTTTTCCACTTCCTTTTTTTCTATTTTTTTAAAAATAATTTTCCAATTTTCGTTACATGTTTGAATATTTAGTAAAAAAACCTTAGTGAGGAAAACTTTCTGTCTTACCCTTTTTAAAATGCATGAAAAATGGAATTTAATATCCCTCAATTTAGGACAGGTGCACGTTATTCAGAATTTTCAATGTGACTTAAGAGATCTTTCACTAATTAAATTTTGCTATAAGCTTTGTCAATATCTTATTACTTATTTAGTGGTACTGTAGTTAATTTTTCTTCTTATCCATTCTAATTTAATAAATTAGCTAATTTTGAGTAAGAAAATTGCTTTCATATAATTCGCCATAGGTTACCATGGAAAAAATAAAATCGCTATCCTGTCTGAAGAGGCTTCTTAAGCTTGTTTTACTTATAAAAAGATTTATTCAAATTTGTTTGAATTCTACTGCCAAGGGAAGTGGGACCCTGAAAATTCTTTTCAAAACAAAGTTAAGCTTAAGTTACAGAGCATATTTGGAAACCAAGAGTACATGCGTACAATAGACTTTTAAAGAGTACATATTAGTGGCCTAATCTTCCCCGCAGAGTAAAATATGCACCATTAAAGTTTTAGTTAATTAACTTTTAAACTAACAAAAACTTCCAAACTTATGTCTGTTCATGGGGTAAAGGTTTGGTTGTCCGCCTTCTGCCAAAGAGGACACTCGAGATCAAATCCCAGCTGCTACAGTTGATTTTTATCTGTAAATTTTCTTTTCTAAAGAAGGTTGATAACTGTTTAAAATGTTTTATTAAATTTATAAATTATAAATTTTTTAATTTAAATTGATTTTTTAAAAAATTTTGGAAGCAAATTAATAGGTTTTTAATTTTTATTTTTTAAATAAAATGGATAGATAGTTTAAAAAAATTGTAATTTAAATTAAAATTTTTTAATTTCTTTTTAATATTACTAGCTAATAAAAATTAAAATATATGGATTATTTAAAAAAATTAGAATTAATAACTTAAATAAAAATTTCGTAGTTTTTTTAAAGAATAATCCATATATTTTAAATAAAAAATAAATATCTTTAAATATTTTTGCTTTTAAAAATTTAATTTTTAAAAAAGTTTTAATTTAAATTAGAAAATAATAATTTATAAATTTAATAAAACATATTAGATACTTCTCAACCTTTTTTTGGAAAAGAAAATTAGAGATAAAATTCAATCTGCTCAGGCTGGGATTCTATAGAAAGAGGCAATTGCACGTAAGTTTGGAAGATTTTGTTAACTTGAAAGTAAAGAAACTGAAACTTTAATGGGACATATTTCAGCCTGATGGCAGACTAGATAGCAAATTTGTACCCTATCCAAGGTTTTCCAACATGCTATTTAGTTGAAGCTTAACATTGTTTTAATAGTTATTTTCAAGCTGCATACTTCCTTTGTAAGACTCAAAGAAAATTATGGGATCTGAACAGACTTTGGAAGTAGCACACTACAAGTGGTGAAACTACTGTAGTCTCTACTTTTTTTGTAGTTTGCAGTGTAGTGTGCTACTTTTTTAATTAAGTAGTGTAGCAAGTAGTGCAATACAAAAGAAAACAGTAGTTTGTAATGATTTCTGGAAACCACTTTTAACGCTAGTTTAAATAAGAAATACTGCTCTAACGCAACTAATTTTTCAAATTTGTGAGGTACAACTCTTCGTGGGCTCATGAACGGATGCAATGAAAATGACTCTGTGGCTGCAGCTGAGGGTTGACAGAAATTACCTGTTTGAAATCATGTACAACTAATATTTAAACTCTAGCCATTACAGAAAATATAAAATTAATAACTTGGTTATACTTTTACTTGCCAATGCACATTCTTGAATTATTAATGTTACTTCAAAGAAAGGAAGAAATAAGAGAGTATTAAACAATTAAAAAGATGCAAGTATTTGATAATTTTGCCTCTCTTGGAAAGGCAAAATCATACATATTCTCGCTGTCAAACAAGGCAAAAAAAAAAAAAAAAAAAAAAAAAAAAAAAAAAAAAAAAAAAGAAGGAAGGTTAAATGAACAAATTTAAAGAAAAAATGTTTTGGAGTAACAAACTGGCTCATATAAACATGAATAAATATTTCTTAATTAATCCCTAATATTTAATCTAAGCCACTTTCTTATTAAAAACCAATTTGAACAGAGCTGTAAATTAAGTTCTCCAGCAAAGTTTGTCTCCTTAAAATGGTGAAGTTCGATTCCAAGGTAGTTTGTGGTCACTACATTTTAAAAAAAGTAGTTGTAGTTAACTGGATTTGTAACAAAGAAGTTGTAATTAACTACAAAAATAATGTAGTTTTTCTGATTGCTGGTAACTTGTTTTGTGATGATGTTTGAAAGATATAACTGTGTTATTTTTATAGCCTTAACAAAAACAGTATTTAAAATGTTTTTTTCTTTTACGAATAAAGCCTATGCATATTCCTCCTTTTTTCTCAACACCGTTGCCTTTAATAACTGATAGTAAACTTCATCTCTTATGGCCTCAACCACAGAAAATAGTTCAAACAGATGGAGAAGCTTTTAAAATTTTATCAAAGTGTACTGTCAACATCATTCAGAGTTCATCAGATAGTAAGTACATTTACATTTTCTTCTTTAATTACGAAATGTACAGTGATCATTTGCAATACACACTTTAAAAATAAATTTATGTTGAAATAAAATGTTGCCGGAACTTTAATTATTGCCAAGAATTTCCTATAACAATTCTGCTTTGCTTGGGTTTCTGGGAATCAATTCAGTTTCTTAACTTTTTTCCTGAGGCTGTGACAGCAGTTGTCACATTTGTAGTTTAGGTCTTGTGAGGGGTTTGTGACATTTTCAACCTAAGAATGGGGTAAGAAATCTTTTCCACAATTAAAAGAGGGGATAAAGTTACAGCAGGGTGTGTTTTATTGTTTTAGTTATAATAATTCTAATAATAATTCTGAAACGGTTAATAAGGCTGTTAAATTAGTAATTGTATTTTTCAGTATTTCCTATTTTCCTAAATATTTTGAAATATTTATTTTATTTTATTATGCTTTCAGGTTTGAAATTCCCCTACTGTTTTTATGCCTCACAATAACCTTAATTGTCTTATTTATTTGTCTTCTTCTCTTTGATTACTTTTGCTTACATTTATTTCTTGTCACAATCTGAGTTGTTCTGTAATTCATTTGTATTTCTTCACATTTTTCCCTCTGTACTGGTTTTAGTGCTAAGAAATTTCTAGTAAAATTTTGTTTAAAAAATTTGTAGCATTCTAAAAATGCGTAATTGTTTCCCATAGTTGTTTTTTTTTTTTTTTTTACAATCTTTACTTTGATAATAAAATTGAAATTTGGAAATAAAAGAAATGCATCACCAAAAGGGAAGAAATAAGTTTATTATTGGCAAAAATAAATAAATAAATGAATAGAGTATTTTTTAAGTTTAAGTGCCTCTTTACTTGTCAGAAAATTACACTGTGAAAAAATTAATTTTATGAAGTATTTGTTATTTTTTTATGTTCATAAATTAATAATTAATGTGCTTATAACATTTCTTCTAACTTATATTCAACTGTGGGGAGAGTAGTTACAGACCATGTCAACCTTCATCTATGAAAAGGTACCCCGACATAGAGTCGAGTTACGTCAAATTTATATTATATTCATTAAAACACTAAACTGCTTTTTCCTAAACATTTTTCTCAAAATAAAATGTAATTTATAACACCCGATACGATTTGTTAAATATAATAAAGTAGTTGCCAAATTGAAACTTAGTTCTCTTATTTCTAAATATCTAGAAGTATTAATTCTTTTTAATTAAATTTTTTAATTAAAAATTAAATATTACTGGAAATATTAATTAAAATTTAATGTGCTAAATTGTCCCTTTTGGATAGAAAAAGTTATTTATGGATAAATTCAGCTACAATTTATGACAATTGAAGCATAATTATAAATTTATTTTGAAATCTTTATTGTGAATTAAATTTAAGCTTAATTGTTGNTCCCCTGAACCATCCCATTAAGATTGATTCTTAGTACTTGAAAATCTGGTCATTAGTTTAAAAGTTATTAAGGGGTCGTTCACTTATTCAAAATTTTTAAAAGTTACTCAGTTATTTATTCAGAGAATTCACATTTGGTTGAAATATCGTCTGCTCTAATTAATTAGAATGGACTTAGGCCTTCAAACCATTAATATTGATTCTTAGTACCTGAAAATCTGGTCATTTGATCAAAACATATTCAGACTGTTTCATTTTTCTCACTCTCTACATAAATGTCATATTGTTGTGTTGTGGCATTTTTCATATTTGTTTGATTTCAATATTTGCATTTACTAATAATTTTGTTGCTTTCACATACTTCAACAAAATGTTTCCACTTGTTTTTTTCTTTTTTCTTCCTTTCTGATTACCCATTACTCCTGATAGAGCAGTATTAAATTTTTATATTCCAATCTAGGGCTGTTTACATAAGGCTCTATATCAGCCTGTATCGTGGTGTCATCTTTCCCCCTTTGCTACTGTTGTTTATCAATTACCAAGACAAGTGATTTATTTTCTATGAGTTCTCTTTTATTATACAATTATGTAAATCAACTTATGAGTTGCAAGTAAACAATGTAAGAAATCTTAACTAAATCAGAATAATTTTTATGTGGATTATAAAATGGAAATTATAATTTATATTTTTTGTTTAAATGGTGCAGAAATTGACTTGTAAAAAAAAATATGGAAATGCAAATATGTTTTATAGAAATGACCTTTAAACTTAAAATTTCCCAGAAAAAGTGTGGAAAATTTTTTGAGGAAGATTTCCTTATCTGGATTTTTAATTAGAACCCATTTAACCTTCAATTTTTATTTCTTGATTTTCTCATAACTTTATGGTGACGGTCTTCAGTTTCTAATTCTTCGTGTTTTTCTTATAACAGGGTTCCTGCAGTACTTAAAATGCCTTGAAAGTCCTTGAATTTTGTTTTAATCAAGTGTAATCAGGTGTAATTTGATGTACACACAATATAAAAATTGGGCACAGTGAATCATATTTACACAATTTAAAACATCACACGTTGCGATTTATATCTATTTTATAAAAAATAAAATTTGGTTAATCTTAGTTTGTTATCTGTCAAAATATTGTACTACAAGAGATTTTATTATGTTCAAAATACATTACTGATATTCTGACGTAATAAGAATATATTTTGTTTTTAAAATTGAAACAGATATACTAAATATTTTTTTCCAATTAATTTAATATGCTTCATTAAATTTTTAATGAAAAGTTTTACTGGTCTCAGTCTTTAAAGATTGTCAAGTATACTAATGTCAATTAAAATTTTTTTTAAATGTTCAAATTAATATAAATCACAATGTAGCTGTCAAACCACTTCCATTGGTAGCTGTGGGCTACACATATTAAAAAATTTCTACAACTATTAAACAATTTAGAATTGATAAACTTAATATACACTTCAATGTAACAAAATCTATTGGACATGTATTTTAGCATACTAACTATAACTCAGTAGGTCTTTGAAAAGTTTGATTTTATGTCCATTGAAAAGGGCTTGAATTTTTTTTTGAAAATTAAGTTAGGACCCTGTATAAAAAAAGGCACATATTCAAAAAAGTTAATAATTACTTAAGGTTAAATTGATAAGTTGAAATTAATGAAATTAACATCAAATTACTAGATTCTTTGTTAAAAAGATTAACTGATTATTGCCAAGCATTTTAAGTTAATATTCTTTTAGAACTAGTGTTTTGTCAAACATATAGCATTAAATTAATTCTATTTCCAGTATCAGCATTATCAGCTATAGATGTGTGGGATGTGCATGCAGAACGCTTTATATCCTTTGGATGTGAGTGCAGTGTTGAAAATATTCTTCAGTGCAATTCTGATTATTCTGCTGACATCATTTGCCATTTAAATTCTCAACTCTTTCCTAGAACTGAGAGCTACAAGTTAATAATTTCTAAAGAACAAGTAAGAATTCCTATTTACTGAAATATTTCATTAGTTTCTTATTAAAATTTTTTTTATTTCATTTCAATTGATCTAGGTTAAATTCATTATTGTAAAAAAACTTTTTTTTTGTTGCCAAAAACTGTAATTAATTGAAGTAAATTCCATTCTTGATTTTTTTTTTCATTCTTTTTTATTTACAAAAGTAACTAAATAAAAAAACTTTGAGTTAAAGTTCCTGTTTTGAGACAAATGAATTGGTTATTTTTTATTATGTTTAGTTCTAAATTTAAATATAAATGAAAAAGTTTAAAATGGTTGAATTTTTATTAATTTTTTACTTGGTCAATAAATAGGTTTGAGTTTATTTACTCAAATGAAAGTGATTCTTTCCTTTAATTTTTTAGGTTAAAATATATTCCATAGCTCAGAATGTTTCTTTTTTGTGCAAAGGATTTAGTTTATAAATTTTATGCAAAATTTTTTTTCTTCTTTAGTTTGTCTAGTCATAATGTCATTTACATTTGAGGCAGTAAGCTCATTCAGGCTTTTGTTCTATTAACAGTTATATTCAATTCAATCCAATGAAAGTAGTTAATGATCCTGGATTATTAGAAAGTACTATTTTCTGGCAGTGGGTTTTGTCTTAAATATTTGGGATGGCTTAATGTTTTATTGTAAGTTTTCATTATTCTTAAGTTTTGTATGATGTTTTGGTTTGTAATTGGAATATTGTTGTGGGAATTGAAACAAGATAAGGGAACAGGGTGAGTTTCACCATAATAGAATCATTTTAGTCTGGCAAAATAAGTTTGAAGCTAATGATCTTAGTCAAGAGGAAAGTTTATTTTGCTCGAGAAAATAGTGAATTTTAATAGATAAAGAAGAAAAAATTAGCTCTAACATAAGTATTTTAATTTACTGGAATGTTCATGTAATTTTGTTAAAGCTTATATTAATACCTACTGGGGGATTTTCTCATGCCTTTATGAATTTTAATGCTGTTTATTCATTAGTTTGTAGAAAGTTTTAAAAGTTGCAAAAAAAAATAATCTAATTTTCCAATTATATTAATGCCTTTTAATTCTTGTGTTTTTTTTCAGTTTGAAACATCATCCTAATTTTTAGTACCTTTGTCGTAATTTTGGGACAAACCAAGTATTTTTTCTCTCGTTCATGCACAAACTTGTTAATTTTATTTGAGATATTTTATAAACAATATATTAAAGCTTTTTTTATTGTGTGGGAGTTATTATTAATTAAATGTTTTATTCCAATATTACTAAGGGAAGTGTTATTAAAAATATGTCTGTCCTAACTGGTTGCTAAAAATAGACATTATTGTCGATATAACTAAAAAAAAGAGTGACAGGAAGTAAACAAAAGTTTTATTAGAATTAACCAATAGAAATTTATATTTAATTATTCATTCATTTTTAGATAAGAATTTTATCATCTGATGCATATGGTCTTCATTATGCTCTTTGTACTCTTGAACAACTTTTAAATCTATATCGTGAAGATGGGACTTTGCCCTCAATATTTGTAAGTACTTTTTTATTATTCTTGATGTTGCTACATTTCTTACTATTACTACTCTATCTATTAAGGCTATAACTTTTTTTTTGAAAGAATTTATTTTTGGTTAATATTTACCAATAAAAAGTTTCTTTCCTTCTTTTAGGACTACTTAAAGAAAAAAAATTAAAAAAATATTTTTTTCTTCCTGTAATTCAGCTTAACATATTTTACTTTATAATTAAGTGTGGTGAGGAAAATCTAAATATTTTGTTCCCTTTTACTGATTGCTTTACCGCTGTGCCTGATTGCTTTACTGCAATGTTTTACTGAACCAGTATGTCCAGTCACATAATTGAGCGCAAAAGTAATAAGACCAGTAATATCTAACCGAAGATTAGATTGAAAGATAAAAAATGGAGTTCAATTTGGTCCTATTTTATTGTATTTTATAACTGTCGTTGAAAAGCCGACCCAATTTTTTGGGTTTACCACTACTAATGTTCAACTCTGTAGCCTTGTAATTTTGAACCCAATCCAGAAGATAAGGGAACTCCTGGTTTAAGTATTGGGAGAAATGTTGCCTTTGTGGAGGACTTTTTTGATGGAACTAATCTGCATTTGAGTTACATGGAGAGGAAAACTACGAAAACCTGCAATGGTAAGGCAAGGCAAGGAGACTCAAACTAATGATCTGTCTACCACTGAGGCTGTTTTTACGTCACCATTGTGGTCATTGCAAACCAAGCCAGAATTTGTATTGGCTCGGTTAACCGTAAAGCGTTAGTATCGACCAGTTAGATTCAAACCTGGTTCACATCATTGGAAGGCGAACGCTCTGTCCCCTGAACCATCTCGGCTTCAATTTTGTCGTAGTCTGGAAAGGAAATAGGTGTTTCTCAAATAGTATCTTAGAAAGCAGGAACACTTATAGTTCATTTTCTAAGAAAGGACACTACACTGAATCAGTTAAGTCTGATATTAGTAGGAATCGTTGTACTTAGGATCTTATTCAAGTGTTTATTTATTATAGTATGTATTAATTAAAATCAAAGTATTAATTGAAATTTTAAACTGACCAAAATATTAAATATTATTAGTAGATAATTTCTGGTATGTTATGTTTTCAGTCTAGCTAAGGCAGTTTATTTCTTGAACTCTGATAGTTAACTGTTGTTATTATGACTGTGTACCTGTAAAATTAAGCAGGAAAAGAAGTTTAGAACTTAAAAATTATTAAAAAAATGTTTGCTAATTCTTAAATTTCAACTTTAGACATACTTCATAAATCTGATGTTTTAGTTATTTGACAAATGATTTTAAATTATGTTATTTATTTTTATCAAGATATTTTTTTCAAGTATTAATTTATATCACATTTGTAACACTGTTTTAGATCCATGATTGGCCACAACTTCAGCATAGGGCAGTTCTTTTAGACTTTTCTCAAGGTTCTAGAAAACCTACTTTAGTAAGTAATGTTTTTTCTTAATTAATTTTTTTATCTAATCTTTTTTATTTATTTATTCTTATGATTAATTAAACAATCCTTATTCTTATTTTTTGAATAATTTTTTTTTGTCTTTTAAGGAAACTTTGAAAGATTATGTTAGAACAATGTCATCTTTAAAAATCAAACAAGTGAGTACCTGTATGCATTTTTCATACGTTTTGATTTATCATTATTATTATTAAATTTTTTTTTTAAAATTTTGTTACCTGTCTGATTAACATTTTATTTCAGATGCACTGTTATTTCAGGTATGAACAAAGTCTTGGTCATAACCTTCCAATGTCTAACAGGTAAAAATATCTCTTTTCTTGAGATTACATATTTTTAATTTTTTAGGTTAAATGTTACTCAATTTTTAATTATTTTATTATCATAGAGCAATTTAGTTTAGGCCATGCATATTTAATATTTTACATATATTGATAATTGAGAACAACTTTTAATGCTGGGGATAGATTTGAGTTGTTCAAATGAAGTGATCATTGCGTTTGTTTTATAATACTTTAGTTTTTGTGTTGAAAGCAATGATGAAAATGTTAACCTAACTTTTGGGGAAGTTAATATTTTTAGCAAGATGTCTGATTTCACCTGGATTTTATTATCCAGGTGATCATAGGGAAATTTAGTTTAAGTCATGCATATTTATTTTACACATTATTCCAGGTAGTTATTCCAGGTGGGATGTCTATCCACCTGGAATAACTAAAAACCTGAAAAAGTCAGGGAAATTTATATTTCTCTTGGTAAAATCTAAAAAATATTATAAAATAATTATAAATTAAATCACTTCCCAATTACATATTTTCTTTTTTTGCGCTTTAAAATAAAACTTGTGTTAACATGCCACCCTTTTTTTTTTCCATCAAATGTCAAAATTTATGAAACTAAATTTTTGTTTTCAATTTTTTTTTAGAGAATTTATTCAGCTATCCAAGTTCTGCACAAAACATTTTGTAAATCTTGTCCCAGTAATAGATGTTGGTACTTCAGAAAAGCACATAAATGTAAAAGACTCCATCACTGAGCCAGCTCACCAACTAATGTCATTATTTTCTTCAAAGTGAGATATATATGCTGAGATATATGTGCTAATTTTTTAAAAATATATCTGAGATTCTCTTCATATTGAACTTTCTTAAATTTTTATTTCAGGTCAATTCATATAGGGCCAAATTTTTCAAAAATTATTTTGCATGAAATTCTGATGTCAAAAAACTCAAAAGTGATATGGGATATGTTGTTACTGCCAACATCTACTGTTGTGTTTCTGTGTTACAATGCAGCTCAAAATAATAATGAACTGCTAAAGTTACTGCCTTTAAATTGCATTCTTGTTGATTATGGTATTCAAGTAAGTTTCTGTTAAAAAAATAAGAATTTATAATGTTATTTTATTCTGTTTTTTATTAACAACAAAATAATACAGATTTGTAACAATTACTTCATTTAAATTGAATTACAACTTTCTTAATTTTAATTATTGTTGATATTACTTGCTTTTGTTAAATTACAAAAAGGGTGAATTTTATTTGATTATATTTTATTGATGGGGATTTTATTTTATACTTTTTAAAAATATTTTTTCTCTTTTTTTTATAAATTGCTTCTTGAATATTAAGAATTATTTATTCTGATAATTTTTTGTTTCATCAGATTTAATTTATAGCACCGATTGATCACTCCATCTAGAATTTTTTATGTTGTTTACATTTCGCATTTTATAGCCAATTCTGTCTTTTGTTTTGTTAAGCTCTACATTCAATCAAATCCATTAATTTCTATAGCTACATGCAAATGCAAATTATATTTTTATCCTGCATGCTAAAAAGCATAATATTTCAACTTTTTCTGTAGCTGTTTAACTTAATAGGTAATTACAATCTTCGCAATAAAATTGACACTTAACTATAAATCAGTTTTCATAATAGTCTCATATTTTAATATGTCTTTATGTGGGAACTTTTTTTTCTCCATTTTGTATCTATGTATGTATTTTTTTAAAACCTTGTTTGTCAAGTGGGTGAAGATAGTTTTATTTGAAAAACTGGATTAAAGTGTAAATAAATCATTTGTTTTTTCCTTACATCATTGTTTTTGGCAATTTTTTTATGTTTAATTTTTCATGTATGTCGCTTGCCTTATTTATATTATATATTTAAATGTTTAGTGATTCATAGAATTGTATAAATTGAGGCTAAAATAAGCTTGAGGTGCTGAGAAACATTGCATGAAGTGTATGCAATGAGTGCGATGAACCTCAGACATATATCTTCAATATTATCTTCTATTGTGTATTTTACATTTTTTATGCACATCTATAATGTTCTTACATTCTTTCTATAATTACAATTATGGTAAAATTACTGTAGCATTTTAAAATTAATGTTTTAGAAAAAAAAATGCATATTTTTTTATTTGAACTTTTAAATCTGAGACATGATTTCAAATATTATTCTCAAATATAATATTATGTATTTTACATTTTTTTTCAAACTATCAATAATATCCTTAATCTCTCGCCCCCCCCATAATTACAGAAGTATGATTAATTTACTTTAGTGTTTTAGAATGAATATTTTTGAAGAAAATTTAGAATTTTTTGTTTAAAAGTTCCAGTTTTTTTTAATTTGTTGAAATGTTTTAAAATTGAAACTTTTTATAACATGTCTGTTCTTAATCAGTACAAGCATAAACTTGTTTTAAAATGAATGCATAGTAATCTTTTTGCTTACAATATTTTTAATCCGTTACTTTATATTGTGGAAAAGTTTATACCAACATTGTTCCATTGTAAATGTAGAAAGTATTTTCTACAAGAAGTATTATTTTATTAAGATTTTATCATAAATGTTATGGGTATTTAACGAACCTACTTAATACTGTACTCCTTTTTCATGTCCAATGTTAAATGCACCAGAACACTCAGTGGTATGGATTCAGAAAGTCCTGAGGCATATATTAATTTAATGTCAGTCCATCTTTAGTATTAATAACAGCCTGCTCGTGTCTGGGGAGAATTTCTGTCAGATTTTGATTAGTGGCCGTAGGAATTGACTTCCATAGGTACATCAGGTGAAGTGAGTGTTTGTAATGGGAATAGGTGATCAAAATGGGTTACAGGTGGCATAGAACAGAACTTTCTACCTATGGCAACACTTCGAATGCTTTCACCATTAGCGTGTGGAGAGTCATAGGAGAAGGAAGTACGTTAGTTTTTGTCGTGATTTCCAAGTAGATTAAAAACTTTTAAGTTAGGAAACTATATGGAACTGAAAGCTACATTTAGCATAGTTCTATAAGAAAGTGTATTGGAATTTTAAAAGAATGTTTTTGACAATTAAATGCAAAAAATATTAAGAAACAGGAAAATATTGTAGTACATTCCTATACAACTGAAAAGTGAAGGAAAGGGTGGGGTCAAGGCATGGAACTGGTCTTCTCCCCAGAGGGCGTATTCGAGCATTGCAATCGCGAATGATTGATTTGGTTGCAACATAATCTGCATCCTAAAAATGTTCTATAAGTTTTTAATCAGGGCTTTGAGAAGGCAAGTCCAGTGTTTGAACACAAAATTTGTCGAAACATGGCTGAATAAGTCTTGAGTTGTGAATGAGGCAGGTAACCTGCTGTAAGAGTAATGGACCTTACCTGAAATATTTCCATTAAGTAAGGAGAGCTGTGTTTTTCTTTAATAATCGTCATTGAACAGCCGACCCAATTTTATGGGTTTACGACTACTAATGTTCAACTCCGTAGCCTTGTAATTTTGAGCCTAATCCAAAAGACTAGGGAACTCCTGGATCAAGTATTGGGAGAAATTTGCCTTTGTGGAGGACTTTTTGATGAAACTAACCCGCATTTGCGTTACATGGAGAGGAAGACCCTTTGAGAACCTTCCACGGTTAGCCTGACGGGGGACTCTAACGCATGATCCGTCTACCACTGAGGATATTTCACGTCAGCACTGTGGTCGGTACAAGTCGTAACTGAATTCGTATGAACTGGTATCGAACCCGGTTCGCCTCATTGGAAGGCGAACGCTCTATCCCCTGAGCCATCGCTGCTCAGGAGAGCTGTAATGCCCAGAATATCCTTATATATCTCTGAGTTCATTTTTCTATTTAAAGAAACTAAGCCATGAAAAACCAGTTATTAGGTGGTATATGCCTATCTAAATGCCAGGCATTTTAGGTTTGGTAGTGTAACAGTATAAATGCAATATAATATTGAAAATAGCTATTATTGCCAAACTGTTTCCTCATGTATTTGGATACATATTTGAAATATATATTCTTATAATATTCAAAAACTTATTTATGTTGTTTTCAGGTTGAACATGATTATGAACATAGTGCTAAACTCGTCACTTGTGCTGGGTAAATACATCGATTTTTCCTTGTACATTAGTTTATTATTTTTGTGTTGTGTATATATTGTATTAACATATTTTTATTTTTGTAGATTTAATGCTTGTATTGCAACAAATACTGCATCTTGGGGAAGGTGAGCTTTTTTGAATTATTTAAACTTAGTAATATCTGTAATTGTATGTTAATTTTTCTTTTTAAATATAATATTAAAATTTTTTCATGGATTTATATGTTTTGATAATGTTTTGGTATAAAAAAAAATCTTTAAGATAAGTCAAAAGTCCCAATCTTTTAACACTCAAATTAGTATCTCTGCATTTTGATAATTTCTATGATTTATTTCTATTTTCACTGTAGTTAACTCTCTGTTTAACAGCTTTGATGCGACAGTGAAATATCATCCTTAAAGTTGAGTGTCTCTTTAAACAAAATTTGTAGAAAAATAACCTATAAAAAAACCTTTGTTTTTTCACTTTAGCAGGCTTAAGGCTCAATTTATTTCCTGATAAATTAACATATTTGAAAAGACTTCTTTTTATTGTGCAAGTTGCATTAATACAAGAATAAAATATAATAGCCAAAAATATAACAAATGACAAAAATAGAAATTAAAAAAATTATCAATCAATTATAGTCTCATTTTAATAATTATTTAGTCTTATTTTAATAATTTTCAAAGCCATCTTCCATATTTGAGAGTGATTAATTTTTTATTTCATTTTCAATGTCACTTTATTCTTCGCCATTTTCATTTATAATGTCTTTGTAAATTTTATTCAGTTCTCCTAAGTCAGTTGTCAAAACATTTTTATCATAATTTTAGAAATCCACTAATTGAGCATCTGCCTCATCTTTCTAAATATCATTACAATCAAACTTATTTCTTCTCATAGAAAATTGCTTCCTTGAGATAAAGAGTTAAAAAAAATTAAATTCCACAAGTTAAAAATTTGTTCTTTAAGTAACCCCATAGTCCATAAATATAGATTTTTCTACTATGAAGAAGTGGGTATTGCAACATTTTGTCTTTAAATAGAAACTATTAAGAAAAGTATCATTAAACATTGATTCAACTGTACTATTAAAATTAGTTTGATAATTTTAGAACAATTATGAATCTTTTTATGTAAATTATGTTTTTGATATTTTTTTGACTAAAAATTGGGGGCAACTCTGACCATTCGAAGGTTCAGGATCCTCACTAAGGATTTCAAATTATTATTAGCTAGTAAATTATCCCAAAATCAAAAGTATTCGTCAATTTTCGAAAGTTTTCCCCAAATGCAAATCTTAAAAAAAAATTTATGATTAATTTTTTCTCAATTATTTAACAGGGTTTAATCTGTATTTTATGGTATTTTGCTTCAGGCTTATATTATTTGGACCCAATTCTAATTGGTTATGTGGCACATCTACTGAAAATTATTGTATTCGAATAAAAAATACTGGTTTGTTTAGAAAAATTCATTTTGACACAAGTTTGAGGATCAAGTTAAGTATATAGTTTTCTTTCCAGTGGAAAAAAAGTCATTAGCCAATATGTTCCCCAAAATATAATTTTATTCGCCAAATTTATTATTTTATTGCATTTGGCGAGATGTCTAATGCTTAGCATGGGCCCTGGTTGTTGTGCATCCATAGGTTATTCTTTTTTAGAATCTAATCTAAGCTGTGAACTGTCTGATAACGTCAGCGATACCTATAACTAAAAATTTGTTATTAACAATTTTAATAATTGATATCGATTTCTTTTATTTCTTTCAATATAATGTATTAAAATTTAAACTAATATTTATTATAATGTGTTAATAATGGCTCTGCAAAACTAACTGATGTTAATAACTAATTACTCGGAATAAATTAATTTGTTTTAGTGTTTTTAAATTACAATTCATAGTTCTACCTTTTATTATATTTCGTTCATTTAAAATTTTTCTTTTGGATTTCAATTGAATTGTTTTTAAATTATTTAGGTTTTAAATTATTTAGGTATTGTTCTCAGTGCACTACATTTAAAGAGAACTTTAATTTACTAAGTTTATTTACTAAATTTACTAAGTTTAATATTGACTTGAGCATTGTGATAGAATAATTCATTACTTTTATTTATTTAAGTTAGTTTTTTTTATTCATTTAACATTTTGTAGTTTAATCATTTTTAATAATTCATCGGAAGCCAAATCTCCCATTTTAGGAGCATATACTTTTTATTCAAAAGCATAAAGACTAGTTATTCAATTAGAATTTTTTTTTAAAATATTGAAAATATGTATCTACTATACTATATTAATTGTATAAATATTTTTATTTCCCTCTGAAATCATTTAAATTTTATTATTTTAGAAACTGAACTGTTAGCTAACACTAAAAAATATCCATTTAATTAAGCATTCTTGCCACTTTTTCTTCAAGACCGACTCAATTAGATATATATTCCCTCCCTTGGATTTGAAATAGTTAATTGTTGTTATATATATATATATGTATTTTTTTTTTTGAAATTGTATAAAATATTGACTGTAATATTTTTCTTCTTCTCAGTATTGCAGGATCTCCGGAAACTGCAATATCCACTATTCATAAGGCATCTATTGCAGCATCTGTTCATGGATCATTTGGCATGATTATTTCAGATTTGCAAATATTACAACATCATCCAGCTTTCTGTTTTAGTTGGCCTGGTATACTTTTAGGTCTTGGCTTGGCATGGAATAGTTCTGTGCATGAGGTATGAGGCAATATCAAGTTTTTTTTTACTGAAAATAATTTCTTATTTACTGAATGCAATGTTTATTCTTCATGCATTTATTTTTTGTTGATCTAAGACAGAACATTTATACTTTGTATATTGATGGGAATATTTATGGTAGACGGGTAAATTTACTCTATTAGAACGAATTTCTGACACATAATATCTAAAAGTATTAATTTAATTAAGCAATGTTGGTTTTACATGTAATCCAAGCACATGGAATTTGCTTTTTATGCACATGCTTTTCATATGAGCCATTCAGTACAGAAATCTCTCCTCTACTTGAAATATCTTAAATTTAAATATCAAAGCTCTGGAATGAGCCATAGCTTTTTATATTTAGAATAAATTTTTCAACTTATAAATAAAAATCTAAATGAGAAAAATCTTATGAAGAATTTATATTATTAAACGTATTTTAAAAGATATTTTTGGAAATATTTTGTGTGTTATTGAAATTAACTGAAAATCAAATGTTCTTTGAAAGTTACATTTCGTAAGGTGGCAATATCTTCAAATCTTGTGCTATAAAAAACCTGTTCGACGAACAGAGAAAGAGATCACTGTGGTAGAAAGACGAACGCTGTGCTATGTGACTGTGTTCATTCCAGATTTCAACGAGTTCAAAATAACTATGCTAGTATTTAAATCACTGTAAATGCTGATGCACAACTGTTGTGCTTTTATTTAATGGCAAAGTATACTGCTTATTTTTTTACAATATATGCTGTTTTTGATCTACGAGCTTCGTTATGTCTTAGACTCAGCACAGAAAAAACTGACTTTAGAAACATTTGTTTTAAGAAATTAATCAAAGTGTGCAGTGAAAAGCTCATATGTAATTTATTTATTTCCATTTAAATGTGTTGTTGTATATTTTTATTTTATTTCTTATATATTCTTGTGCTGTTGCACAAGTTAAGCTTTATTCACTGCTGTGACAGATAGCAGCACAATAATTTTACTACCTAATATTTTAAGTGTTTTTGCATTTTCAAGTCAGTGACTTAATTCTTATTCATTCTTATGTTTTATTCTTATTCACCCACATGTTTCATTTAAACTTTTATTTTGTTTTATTCAGGTAAAAATAAATAAATAAAATTGAATCTTTTTAATACTTTTCTGTCAAAAAAAAACAATTAAATTCCATATTTTAATTATTGAATTATATGTTGTTATGTCATAAATTTTACACAACTGTGTTTTGTTTATTTAATTGATTCACATAATTTAAAAATCTGTTGAAAAAAAGTTGGATTTTTTAAAAAAACAAAACATTTTAGGCTAGAATTTAAGTATTAAATTATGATATTCACATCAATCTTGAACCTTGCTTGCAAAGACTAAAGACATAAATCTCTCATATTTTTTTAGAAATTTTTTTTGATGCTTTTATTTTGTAAATATTACTTGTTTTTTATTGTAGAAAAAATTTCTTTGTTTTTTAAAAAAATTGCTAACTTTTCATGCTGTTTGATAAAGTGTTCTGTTTTGGGTTCTTTTATTTTATCAATTAGCTTATAAAATATATACCTATTTGCTTACTTAGTGTTTAATGAGAAAAGCTCATGGCATTTTTTCTTTGTGAGGAGTATTCGTTTTTTATTGCAGAAAGACTTTTTTTATTTCTTGAAATTTTGTTAAATTTGTATAAAATTCAATCAAATGTTCTGATTATCAACTAGCTTACTTTGCAAATTTCATTTTATTTTGTGATTTCTTTGGTGTTATGAGTGGAGACCTACTATTTATGCAAAGTTGCAGAAAATATACAATTATCAAATGTACAATGTTTTAATTTATCAGACAAACTTGTCTTTAAGTTTTTTTTTTCCTTTGCTACTTCACCTTTTTCAGTTTTAGAAATCCTTTTAGTTACTTAAGCCTTGAAAAATTGTATCAAGGTAAAAATTAAGAAGTGTATTTTTTTCTTCTTCTGTTTTTGTTGTTTTCCAGGTCTTAAATTGTTTAAAAAAATTTTCTATTCTTGTCGGGTCATTTAAAAAATCTTTTCACTTAACTTATGAGAAACTAGTAATTAGACTTATTTAGCATTTATTATTTATATTTTTATTTTAAAAACTCTTATTTATGATTTTTGAACTTTAATATTTATTTACAATATGTGAGAAACAAAAAATGACTTATTAATGCTTTTTAGGATTATCTCCATGCAAGATTGTCTGAGTTGTTAAATCTATATGTATATCATGATGCATCTCAAGTGACAGGTTACCTAAATGTTGAGCTTGGTAGATTGGAGGCTTTTATGCATCAATCAATCTTCCAAAGTCCAAAAGATTCAGCTCTGAACTCTTCTTCATGCAAAGGATCAGTTTTGCATCAGCTCTTAGTTGATGCTGATTCAGTTCTACTGGATAATTTCACATTTGAGCTAATTCAGGTAGCGATTTTTTAATTTAATTTAATTTATTTTGCATACTGGATATAAGGTTGAAACTTACCTTCTTAAATGATTTCTAACAATTATAACTGAAAATTTGTTTTTAAATATTTATGTTTTTCGATCAGTTGTTTATTATCAACATGATTATTTATCATCAAATTGATTATTCATTATTAGATTAGTTATTTGCTATTGTTACATTATTTATATTTTTTAATTCATTAATTGTTTTCTAAGCCAAAAGCTTCATTCTTCAGTTTTTTAAAAATATTTCTTAATGAATATTTGGTTTGTTTTATGGCTTAAAGTAACAGTTACATCAAATGTTACATCTTAAAGAAGTTTTTTAAGTAAAGTTATGACCTTTTTCAATTTCAATTAGAGATTATTATTAGAGATTTATTATTTGGGTGCTATTTTTTTCAGTGCATTTATATTTTATGTGCTACAATGAAAAAAATTACTAATTGTTTTTTTTTTTAATCAAGTACACTTAACAGCACAGTTTATTTCCAATAGTAGCACACACATTTGATGCCAGACATTTAAATTATATTAGAGAGAAATTAATGATAGATGTAAGTTTCTATGACATTGAGAAAATTAAGAACTTAATTAAAATAATGTGCTTAGATTATACTGCTATCTAAATGTCCCTCATCTTTACCATAAATAGCGAATTACTTCTAAGGTGTGCAAATAGTTTTATGCTATTTACTATTCATTAAATTCTACAACTATTTCTCTTAAAATTTTTACTCAGTTTTTGTTTGAGTAATAAGAATTTTATTATAAATAGAATAGGAGAAAATAAATGCAACTCAATTTTTACGACAAAATTTTTAAAACTAGCTTTATAAAAATAATTTTTGTTCTAAAATTTTTTTCTCCCTGTATGAATTTGGGCGGGGGGAAATTTTACTGAAGAGAACACAAGAACACCACTTTGAAATCCTTCAGGCAAGAAAAAAAATTAATAATATAAAACAAATAAAGTTAAAAAATTAAAGAATTTATTTATTTTCAAAATAAGGTTTAACAAACATTTTAAATAAGTTTCATAACTAATTTTTATTGCATTATACATTTAATAATTTTATTTAAATACCTTTTCTGGAGGTAAAGTTTTTAAATAGTTTTTAGAAAAACTTAATCCCATTTCATTTTTGGAAAGAAATTAAGTCACCCCATTCTTGCTTGAAATGTCATGACTTCATAACCTTTTGCTTTTATGGCCCCATTCGGTTTATATACATTTGATTTATAAGTTTTTTCCCCAAATTTATTGCCATTTATGTGTATTTATATTTTAATTGTATATTTTACAGCAAGTGATTCGCCATATAAAAAAGTTTGAATTAGAGCTTCAAAAAGCCACTCCATCTTGCTTCCAGCATGGAGAGCTAATACTTGAGTTGAGGCTGGCCATGGATCTTCTTTTGTTCACCTGCCGGTAATTCATTTATTTTCTTTAAAAATGCATCCTATTTACATTTAATATTCATGTAATAATTTCATTAAAATCATTCTGATTTGTATAGAACCTTATATTTAGTTTTGAATCATTTAAGCATTTTGTATCAACTTTGTAAATTATTTTGCTTAAATACTTACTAATATCATTTAAGAGCTAAATTCTGCTTAATTGATTCATATTTTCCTGAACTGTATTAGACTCCTTGCAAAAATAAAATTAGGTATGTTCTATCATAGTCAGACTTCTTATTGAATTTTAAATAAAAGTTATGGTCCCTTTCTTTCTGAATTTTGTTGACATTAGAATAATACAGATTAATTAAGATCAAAATTATAACATTATTAATCTATATTTTGATTTTAAAAGAGCATTTATATAGTTAAATTTTAAATTATATTCAAATTTTAAAATTCCAAAATTGATATTTTGGAAACAATTGTAATGTATTTTACCAATTACGTATTTTCTCTAATAATAAAAATTTCATATTGTTTTCCTTTTTACAATATATAGGCTGTCTTTGAGATTTGGAGATATCTCTACAAACTTCAAGGTTTGAGTGTAATTGATTCTGGGATTGCAAACTGGCAATATAATTAAACTATTAAAATTCCAAAATTGAAACTTAGGAAACATTATTCGCAATGTATTTAACCAATTTTTTTATAATAAGAAAAACTTCCTATTGTTTTCCTTTTTACAATATATAGGATGTCTTTGAGATTTGGAGGCATCTCAAAAAACTTCGTTTGAGTGTAATGAGTTCTGGAATTACAAACTGACAAATCAAATTAAACTATTCGAGGCTATCTCTACTATCTTAAAAAAAAAAAAGACACCCAAAGTGTTTAAACTTCAAATAAAACAGCATGGTAGAAAAGAAGTTCATTGTATTATAAAGAATAATAGAAAAATTTTTTCCCCCTCCTTTTTATAGAAAATAATGCAATAGTTTTTCACTTAAAGAAATAATGCATTTTTTATAATGCTGCAAGTACAGTCGAACCCTGCTATAGTGAACATGGTTTATAGTGAACGAAATGTTCGCTCCTGTGATTTGCTACACGCGTATAATGTTATTTTTTGTGGATATAGTGAACCAAAAAAAGAGAGAAAGTTGGATATAATGAACTTTTTCTGTCTTCGACTGNTAATGCTGCAAGTACAGTCGAACCCCGCTATAGTGAACATGGTTTATAGTGAACTCTCGGATATAGTGAATGAAATGTTCGCTCCCGTGATTTGCTACACGCGTATAATGTTATTTTTTGTGGATATAGTGAACCAAAAAAAGAGAGAAAGTTGGATATAATGAACTTTTTCTGTCTTTGACTGATTTCCTTCATTTTTTTGTAATAATTTTGAAATTTCTACTTCAAACTAAATACATATACAGATTTTTAAAACCATATATAGCATGGAATGTAACAACAAGCATTTTTTCTTGTTGTTTGCTTTTTCTTGCTTGAATTGATTCAGCATTCAAAGAAGTCACAATCTTCCAGTATCTGGACAAATGCTTCGCGTCAAAGCCTATGAATTTGCTAAGCGATTTGGTGAGACTACTTTTATGTGCTCAAATTGGTTTGATTGGTTAAAAAAGGGGAATGACATAAATTCAGGAAAAACTATCGAAAAGTCGGGAAGTGTTTCCCTATCTGATTTGAGGATTGCTCATCTGCTGAAGATTACTAATTTATTTTGTACGCAAGTTGAAGAGTAATAAAAATTATAAGTTAATACATTTTTTGATACTACGTTTTATTTTTCAGTCTTTTTTGTATTTCATTTTATTGGTTATTTATTTGAATAATGTGTAATTAAAGGGGGGAGTTTGGAACCATTAAAATTGTTATCGGTACAGATATAGTGAAGTCCCGGTTATAATAAACGTAAATTTCGATCCCATGAAGGTTCACTATGGCGGGGTTTGACTGTATATTATTTATCTTTAGCAACCTGGTAGGGTGACCTGGGGTAATTCCTGATCAAAAAATACAAACATCTATTTTGTGAAAAAACTATTCAAAATAGAATTTTAATATTTACTGGAAGTTTGAGGCTATATGATATGAGTCCTATGCTTCCTTCTTTTGTTTGAAAATCTAATTAGAATTTAAAAGATTTTAAATTTTTAGTGATCAGGAATTATCTCTTCTCTTGATCATTTCTGGGGTAATTCCTGATCACTTCTGGGGTAATTACTGATCACCAATTTTTACAGTAAAGGTGTTGTTTAAAAAGATTATACAATGGTAATTAACAAATAAGACATCAAGATCAAGCAAATAAACCAAAAAGATATGTTTCAGCAGCTAATAAAACAATTAATTTAAAAGCAAGAATAAAGATTAACACTTTAAATTTTCCAAAAATCTTTGTATTGTGCCATACATTTTAGGCAAGCATCTAACTCATTCTCATGTTCTGCTGGAATATGAGAAGGAGTTCCAACATGGTGCTTTTGCTGTATTTTTTAACTTCATTAAGTTAGAGTTTAAAGTTAAGTAAGGTATGTCAACAGCTCTGGCAGCAGCTCTCACACTGAAATTTTCATTTCCAATCATTAAAGGAAATTCACTAATTTTGCTTTCTAGAAGCTTAGTATCCTTTTTAGGCTTATAATTTCTCACCATATTTATATTAAGCTAATTTATAAACTTAAAAATTATTCTACCAATGTACACACATAAAATTAAGATAGAAGCAAGGTAAGACAAACCAGAAATTGTGCAAATTGGAACAGATTTGTCGTGTATACAGTTAAAAACAAATTTTGGGATTACAGTTAAAATATATATTATAGTTGTTCCACTTAATAAATATAACTGTTACTTAAGAAAAGACAATTAGCTATTTATTAGCTATCTCTTATATTATTTATAAGAAATGACAATGATCAGGAATTACCCCAGTGATCAATAATTACCCCATCTGTAGGGGGCAACATTTGATATAGTTTCCTACAATCAATTATAATGTCTACACTAGATGTGAAACAATTAAACAAAAGCTTACACTATTTTTATATCAAAGAAAAAGAAAGTAACTCAAAATATTTAATATTAAGAGTAGGCGGGGGATCTTTGCAGAAATGTGCACATTTTGAAACCCATCTTTGAAATGGAAAATACAGAAAGCAGTTTAAAATATACTTATTTTGTTAGATTAAACAAAAAATTATTATTAAATAAATGTAGTAATACTTTAGTAAAGTGTTCAAGCGTTCTTGTCTATGTCTCAAATTCAAAAAAAAAAAAATTTTTTTTGAATAAAACTTAGGTGATCATTATTTACCTCAGAAACAGAGTGATCGTGAATTACCCCGGGTCACCCTACAAAGTAAAATTGTTGACTATTAAATGAGGTTCTTTTATTTGACAATTGGAGTTGTCTGATAAAGTTCAAAATTTTATTTATTTTAGATTAAGTAAAGTTATGGTTAGTACTGGTCTGAACCCAACTGCTAACTCATGTGGATTAGCTGTGATAAATGTGGGAATTAGTAATCTTCCACCTATCTCAAGAACAGATCTAGCAAATAGGTAATTCATTCATATTAAATTGTAGTTTTACTATATTTGTTGCTATGATATGAATGTTAATCATTTTTTTATTCCAAACAGTAATAACAGTAGTAGTATCAAAACAGTAATTTATTTCAAACAGTTTTGGAATAAATTTTCTTCTTGTTCTGCTACAGGGTGACAATAATTGAGCCATATTAAAAACAAACCTTAATAACTTTTGTGTATTTTTGGTAAGATTCAGTTAGAACTTTTCAGTTGAATGCATTTCTCTTTAGATTAGTGGTTGTGATTCGCTAAACTGGGTCAATTCGTCAATATTTCAATCGTTATTTTGTTAAAAATTTACCTTTTTTATAATTGATTCATCAAATTTAACTAATCTTCAATTTTTCTATTTTTAGCAATATCATAAATCAATCATATATGCACATTTGTCACTAGAATAACTCACGAAAATTCATTGTTTACCAGAGACTGAAAATTTATTATGTCGGAATTGTTCAGGAATATGGAAATAAGCTACACATCTGAAGATTTTTTATTTACTTTTGGTTCTTTTCTGAGTATAATTCAATTAAAAGTGTTTGTTTATGATTAGAAATTTGATTGCTATAATTTATAGATTTGGCCCAAAATTTTAATGGTAATTCGTTGCAACTCTTTTGACAAGAACTCTTATAACTCTTTCGATCCTCTCTATTTAACCTTACGTTAGTCGCGCGCACCTCACAGGTGCATCCCTACTGCATTTCCACCTCCTTTGCCGTCAATAGATTTTTCCGGGGGTCGAGCCTAATGTTATGTTCCTAACTTTGGATTAAATGGTCAAGTTATATACACAGAAAATGGTTACGGAGTAAAAAACCGCAGCACCTTCTTGCGTCAATTGGTTGAACATCTTGTGATGGAGGAAGAGATCCGACGCGGAAGCAAGAAAAATTTATCTTCGGTACTTCGTTAAATAAATTTTTTGATATTTATCTCTGTAAAGAGTCTTAAATTGGTAACAATTAACTATTTAAACTAGACTAAATTTCATTTGGCTTTCAAAAAATCAGAAACACCTCATAGGTGCAACGCGATTAACCATGTCGGAAACAAGTGCGCGACTAACGGAAGGTTAAGGCTAAGAACAGCTTTTCTTCTTCTCGGAAAATTTCCAAGGCTTCATCCATTTGCGTTTTTAAGATTTCTGTAATTTTATAAATTTTCCTTTTGATCCTCGTTCTGTGTAGTAAACCAATTCTCTTTTAGAAATTTTTAGTCCTAGACTGGCACATTTTGTAGAAAGTCTACGAACCCTTGCATTGTAGTTACTTAGGCTTTCTGAGTCACTCATTTTGATTTTTTTTTTTTAATTTCAATATTGGCGAAGATTTTTTAATCCTCTCTATTTTGTTGGTAAATGTTTCATTTTCCCCATTAGCATTTGAATAAGGAAAGCTTTCTGTAGGTCACAGTATCAGCATTGTTAAATATCCACTGCTCTTTTTCTTATGGTTTTGTTTCGTGAAGACATTTTTCACTTAGGACATATTTAATCCTCGTTCTGTAACTAGTTCTCTTTCAGAAATTTCTAGTCCTAGACTGGCACATTTTGTAGAAAATCCAGGAATCCTTGTGATGTAGTTGCTTACGTCGAATTATTTTTTATTTCAGTGTTGACAAAGAATTTTTTTTATCCTCTCTGTTTTTTCTATAAATGTCTAATTTTTTCCATTTGAATTTTGGCATTTACCTCATTAGCATATTGTAAACTCTGTTCATCGGGCGAAGAGAGTTGCATGTGGGCCGTTGTATCAGCATTGTCAAATCTCCACTGCTCTTTTTCTTTTGTTTTGTGAGGACATTTTTCCCTGAGGAAATTTTTTAATCTTTTAAGTGTCAATGATGTATGGATTTTAAATAAACCATTAATATAATTACTGCTGGTCAGTAATGGAGTGGACAGCAAGTTTCTTTTCATGTTAAAACTCAAACGTTGAGGATCCTATTGCATAAGCAGGAAATTATGACACCATTATGTCGTAGATGAAATCCAACCACAGCTCTGCTGTCATCTGTAGTGATGTCGACTTCAAGAGAACCAAAGACGAAGTAACATTTAGTATTAACAAAACACAAGCAATTGAAAACACATAGAGCACCATCTGGCATTATTAAGATGAAATGACCAATCCAAATTTTCCAATCAAAGTATGAAATTGATTTAAGCAAATTTTTTAAAAAAACTTCAAAATAATAAGTTAAAATCAGATTGCTAAAAGCAGCTGAAACCAAAATTGTCTTTTGTTAACAATTTGAATGAAAAGTTAGAAGCCAAAAACGATATAATAAAGATATTTATGTCAGCAAAAACAGCACTTCATCAAAGGACGCGCAGACAGTATGTTCCCTGATATAGTGATTTTTTTGCTGTCATACGTATCTTTAGAATTTTGTTTCAGCTTGTTTTTAGTTTCTAACTTTTTATTTAAATTGAAGATAAACTTTTGTAGTATAAATTAATGTCACACTTATATATCATAAGATGTCCCATGCTCAGGTTGAAATTTGTTTTTAAAATTTACATACATAAATTTTTATATATCTATAACTTTGCCAATATGCCAAAACTTTTTTAATTTAAGAACTTAAAGAATATTTGTTTTTCTTGATATTTTCAGATTGTTGGCTCTAATCGAACAATTCCGAGCAGTCTGGTTGAGTAGAAACTTACCGTGTGGTCTCCAAGTGTCTTTATGTATGTTCAATACATTGTTGTCTAAACTTATTCCTGAAAATGACAAATCTTTATTTTCTGTTAATGGTGAAGTGCTTTTATTGCAAGATATGTATTCTATGAATGGAATGTTAACAAAGTTCAATTGAAATATTTATAGGATATTTTTTATTAAAACTCGGATGACAATGTTATTAAAATAAAGTATTTATTTTGTTTACAATTTCATTTAGTTTGCTTTTTTTGTATTAAAAGTCACACTTTTGTTCACTTTATTTTGTGTCCTGAAATTAAAGTACAGTTGAACAAGTGATAGTGACCTGCAACATTAAATCCACTATATCCGAATTCTTTGAAAAATATTTTTTTTTACGTTTTACAATTTTATTGTTGAAAATAGTGATTATAATAGTACATTAGCTGTTAATAAATTATCAGAATTTAAAGGATAATTCGCTGAATATAAAATATATATTTAGTTTATTTTACATTCCACAAAAGAAATTTTTTATTTTCGAGTGTTTTCAACAATTATCTAAAACTATTTTATGTTGATTCAATTGTTTTTTTTTTTGGGTTCTGTACAATGAAAACTATCATTCTGTTATGAATATATAATCCTGTTGTTTTTACCTATACTAGACAAAGATATTTCATATATAACTTTATAAATTAATAATAATATGTAATTATATTTGTAATAATAATATGTCATTATATTTAAAAGAAAACTTTGTAAAGGATGTCATTTTGTTACAATTTAGGGTTTCAGTCACGACATTTTAAAGGAGAAAATATTGAGAGAGCTAAATAATTTTAAAAATATATTAGGATTATATTTGGTTCAAATTAAAAAAAAAACAAAACAAAAATTATAAAATCAACAATGAAATTAATATTTTTTACATTATTATAATATATTTTTAATATTTTTTTTTATAATATTATAAAAATTCATGACATTAAAAGAAAAGTACTTACTCAAAAGCTTCTTTTTCATCAGCCAAACATAGAACATTCAAAGTAATGGCTTATATATANATATATATATTTTGTTTAAATAGTTTTTATTTTTAACCATTCATAAACTGTTATTGAATTCAAAATTGAATTGAATCGTTCAACAAATCTGATTGAATTGAATTGTTCTAAAAATGTAAATGACTGCATGTTAGCTGCAATTACATATTTTTTGTATTCGAAAGCATCTACTAATGATCATGTTATAGAGTAAAATGGTGTAAATTTTTTACACCTTCAAGAAAATTATTTTTCAGGTGCACAACAAAGAGAATCAAATTATGAAAATGACTCTTATAACAAATTTTTTAAGCAGAAAAGCATATAACAAAGTTGGCTAATATGTGTACAGTACTTTTAATACATTTGTTCTTTATATGTCTTTTCATTTCAGTCCTAGTTCATTATTCAGCAATGCAATCTTAAAATAGTTTTTTTTTGTACTACAGAAGAAAAAAAAACATAAATCATCCATTATACATTCTTTTTTATCCATTTAAGTATATAATTATTTGTCTTGGATTTGGGAATTTTTTCCCCTCAATTCGAGCTAAGTGAAGATCATTAAAAGAGTAAGAGTTAAATGTCATCTAAGGGTCACTTGACTGTTAGCTTTAAAGGAATGAAGTTTGTGTAACAACAATAGGAAGATAAGTACATACACTTTTCATCTTTTCTTTAAAGGAACTTCATTCTTGAGTTCTCTCATATCTGAGCATGTTAAGAGGACACCATACCGCGGGAGAAACTTTTCATCTCAAATTTTCTTTCTCCACCATTATTAATTTAAAAGGAAGAAAAAGTGATTACAGGCAAACTTAGAGTAAGCAATGAAGTTTCAATTGCTGAAATTTTTTTTTATCAAAATGTAAGCCAATTATTGGCGCCATTCCGAAATCCTAAGTTATCTTCTATTAATTTACTTCCATTTTGATATTTTTAAAATTTCTTTTCAGTATTTGAAACTTCATGGCTTACTCTAAGTTTGTCTGAACGCACTTTTTCTATACTTTGCATTTTAAATAGTTATGGAGGTGAAAGAGAAATTTGCAATGGAAATTTTTCCCCGTGGTATGGTGTCCTCTTAAGTGAGATTCTTGCAAATGAAAACGATATTGGAAGCACAAACCAATTTCATTAAAAGGAAAAATTGCATTTTTTGAAAGAGTTTGATGAAAGTGCGGGACTATAAAGAGTGAAATTAGTCCAAAACTGGATATTCAAGATTCAAATCTATCAATATTAAATACTTAAATTTATAATGTTATTATATTATCAAAATTATTATTTTTATTAGGTTCCTTTGCTATTTCAATTTTCTGTCATATATTTCATTTTATGGCAATTTATAAGCAAAAGTCTTTGGTCAAGCTCAATATTATAGATGGTTGATTGGATATGTAATAAACAATGTATAATTTTATTCCTAAACATTTTTAATATGCTTATCAACCAGAAAGTAAAGTTAGCGCTTTGAAAGCCACTTTAAATCAAATGTAATTTTCGTATCGGTCGGGTATTTGTTTTTCGTGAATCGATTTTCTTACATCCAAGAATTGGATGAAAATACAATTGAAAGATACAATTTTGACAAATAATCATGAGTTTTGCATATTTATTTAAGGAAATCGTGATTTTAACTTTAATTTATTATTGACATTTATTTTTGAGGAATTGGTTCGTACAAGACTCGAATTATATAAAAAAAGATTTAAATTTAATCCAAAGAAGATTATATTTTCCATTAAATTGCAAGAAAAGTTAAAATTCTGAAATCAAGTGTAATATATATGTTCGCTTGATTAAATAAAACACAAATCATCTCTACAAAAAAAAAAAAAAACCCTCATAGAAAGGTTAAAATGCCTTTCACGTGTTGACCGAAAACTTTTGCAAGCTAGTATATATATATATATAAATATTGAAAAAAAAGTTTCAAAATGGTCAAGTATTTCTGGAAATGTACATCGTATAATCAAAAAAAATGAAATGGTTGCATTTAATTTTTTGCAAAAGCTATCTAATGATACTAAACTTGATCTACCATCTGAGGTCAGGTTTTGGACAACTTTGAAATTTTAAATAGGAGCCCCTATTAATTGGAAATTTGGGTTATCCAGAAAAAAAGCAAACTTTTTTAAATCATAATTTCATGCATTTTGCTTCACAAATGAAGTGGCAATCGGGAAAAATTAAGTAGGGTACAAACTATTTTTTATTTAAAATGGCAACATTAGATTAAGAACCTAAAAATAGATATATTTAAAAATCGTTTAAATATATCTATTAAATATATCTCGTATCTCGTATTTAAATATATCTATTAAATATATCTCGTTTTTAAATCATAATTTCATGCATTTTGCTTCACAAATGAAGTGGTAATCGGGAAAAATTAAGTAGGGTACAAACTATTTCTTATTTAAAATGGCAACATTAGATTAAGAACCAAAAAATAGATATATTTAAAAAAATTTTTAACCATTTTTTAAAATTTTTTCAAAAAAAAAAAAATTAAATTTTTTTAAAATTTTTTTCTTCTTCAATGTGATGGGTCTCAATACAACACGGTTTTAAACAGCTTATTTACCCTATTTAATTTTTCACAGTTACAGCGCCATCTTTGAAGCAAAATGTATAGACCTACAAGTCAAATAGGGTTACTTTTTTTCTGAAGAATATGAATTTTAAATTAAAAATTGGGGATTATATTTAAGATATCAAAGTTTCTCCACCCTGTCCTACAGAATGGAGTAGAAAATCTAGTTTGATATTGGATAGTTTCTAAAAAAAATATCGAATTTATCAGTAAGACTGGATACTACTCAGTCTTTCTTCCCTCTCCCTTAATGCGTTTCTAAGCTGGGCCCACGGTAGTTGCAGTGCAATAGAAAAAGTAGCTGCACCCAAGGTTGAATAAAGCTTATTATGGGCCACTTCCTCAAAGCACAAAAAGACTTATTTTTATATTTTATGGATTTTAAGATTATTTTTTGTAGATTAGTAAGTCCCTTTACACAGATTTGTAATTTTTTTACAGATGAAGAAATTCTTTAAAATTTTCCTTAAAAAAAAATAAAGAAACACTATATTTCCTGTAAAGAGTTCAGTCTGGATTTTGGGAATTGTTCCTCCCCCCCTTGAGTACAGCCTTGACTACATTGCATGTAAATTACATGCATAATTTTTTAAAAATGTCAGATAAAATAGAAATGTCTCCTACTTTTTCACCGAGATGAGATTCTAGTATTTCTGAATTTCCCATAGGGTTAACATATGTACTCGGTCTTACCCTATTTTATATGACCATTTCTTGAAAAAAATCATTTATAAAAAAAAAAAGTGGTGCATCTATGAATTTTCAGGAATTATAACACTGTACACAACTGAACATTGAACATCTTGATTAAATCTGACAGGTTAAGTTATGATTGCAGGGAAATTTTGCAATCAAAGCATAATATACTACATTACTCAGAATGAAGGTCTATATTGAGCCTGATTTCTAAATAACAATAAACCCCCCATCTTATTAATAAAATAGTTAATTATTGCTTCAGTTGATAAACAAATATATTTATGTATTGCCTGAATTATAGCGTCAAAATTTGATGACCTTTGGTACTGATTTTTTTTAAAAACCGAAACAGATAACTCCACACCAAATATTTTTTATGCAATGCACCGAATATAGTACAAATGGTTTTTTTTGCATGCTTAGCAGTATATCATAGTTACGGAGCTAAAAACACCTCATTTTAATTTATTTGTACATGTGGTTGTTACTTAATGGTTGTTATCAAATAATAAAAACATTTCATTATTACCTTTTGTCAGGGAAAGTAAATTCGCAGGAGTTATCACTGTTTATTAATAGCTGTAATAATTTTTTTTTTTGTAAACTTATACATTATACAATGCGTGTTTAATTGTTAACAAGTAGTGTTAGTCACAGATCGTTTTACTTCTTTTCAAACAAAGGTATAAATGGGCTGTTTTTACTACCAGTACTTTATATTTTTTCTGAAAATTGGCATCCCTGTGTTCACCCTTTGTGTGTTGTTATTGTTGTCCTAGATTATTAAGGAAAGGGATGCAATTGTTCTTGTTTTTAGCCATCTATTCTGAAGAATTCCACTTCTGCCACACCCGTTTATTGCGCAGACCCATTCATTCATCCACAGATTGTAATTTTGACCTGAGGCAGAGAACGATCAGAATCTTCAATTCAGTACCACCTGAGGTATAATTTGCATGAGGGACTTTGTGACCCAACCGTTTTAACGTGCACCAGTCCCCATTCACTACACGGAAGTCTTCTGTCGGTTGGATTCATATTCCCGTTCTTATGAACGTGGGTCCAGCCCCTTGCCTGCCAGGCTATCCCGGCCCACCCTTTGTGTGTATTTTGGTCTATGTGAACGGAAGAGTTTTGAAGAAATTGGCACACCAATATGTTGATGCATTATAGTTAACAGATAAAATTATTTATTCACACAATATGTAGTAATTTATGGTTGTTACATTAGAAAGGCTCGCCAAAGCAAGGACAGACATGATTTTTTTTTTGTTTGTTGAGGAACAAAGAGCGAAAATTAAATCATTTTTCTCCGGTATTTATTATATATATACAAGACACTTACAAGACAGCGTGCAGAGTCTATAGAGTCTAATGAGGTGGCTAAAGTAAAGTCTATGCTCATATATATATATATTAGACATATGTATTGTAATATATTAATAATGCAAAGTACTCATAAGGGATGTGCGAATACCGAAGCTATTTTACAATAATATATCACTTCAATAGCATTCATTAAGCAATATAGCTTTGCAATTAATTGAAAGGAATGTTTCGTAATGATATGTATAAAGTAACAGCAGAGATTTGTAAACTAAGATCGTTTCGATTGAAAGCGGCAGAAAAGAGTGTTAGATTTATGAAATTAAAATCGTTAGTATTTTTAAAAACGATTATTGCTTCTGTATTTCGTTGCTTAACAGTTTTAACTGCAACATGAACTGGAAATTTTTGTCTTAAAATTCAGAATTATGTTCTCCAATATTTTCGTCGGATTTTTATTAATTTTTGTTGGTTTAATATTGGTAAAAGATTTTCTATTTTAATACATAGCTGCCAATTTGACTAGATTTTACAGTCAACTCATGGATGTTTTATCAGAATTAATGTACTCAACTAATGGATTCTTCTGGTTTAATTAAAATATTTTAGACAAAATTGTTTTTACATAAAATTTTGTGAATTTTAGAAGAGTCTTTACAATTTAGGAAAGTTTCTGAAAAAAGTCCCTATAAAATAAATTTTTTCATCACGTTCTTTTTTTTCCAAATTAATTTTTTATTGTTTGCTTGAGTATTTAAATAAGTTATACTTTTAAATAATTAAGTAAGTAATAATTGAGTAACTTCATTTTTAGTAATCTGTTTGAAGCTCATTTTTTTCAAAAATGTCTAAAATTTTCAGTTCTTTTTTAATAAGAATTCTTAATTTTTAAATTGAAGAATATATTGTGAGTATTTAAATATCCATTACTGTTCCAAATTGTGAATTTAGAATACAAGAAACATAAAACATTTTATAGTCAACTCAATTTAATATCGATCATTAGTGAAAAATATTACATCCAATTTCATTTACTAGTTGTGAAATATAGTTTATTGACTAGGAAAAATCCCTGAGTTTAAAATATTTTGAATATAACCCAACACTTAGATGAAATTCATATTCTTTCCTAAATATAATGGATTGTTCCTTTCATGTTGGCAGCCATTTTAATATTTATTAATAGAATTCTGGGTTTAGAAAATACATTTTAAAATATTTATTTATCTTTTTACAATTAATATTTATAAAAGCAAAAATATTTGGATAATTATGTTTTTATTTCTGAATTTTTCCGATTAATTATGAAAAATCTGAAGTAAAAAAGTGATTTTTATAATTTTACTAATTATAAAAATCTTTATGTCTAAAATATTTTAAATATAACCATACAGTTAGCATGAAGTTAACATTATTTTGTAAAACCTTTTTGTGGTTTACTTTTTCATGTTGATAAGCTATGTAAATGTCTATTAGTCCAATTCTAGACTTCAATAAAATTTTGAATATTATAACTAGCATATTATATTAACATATTATCATTTTAAGAATTAGTAATATGAAAATCCCTGACAGTTATATTTTTCTTTTTAAATTTTCCCAACAATTAATATTCTAGCAATAAAAGAGATTATTTTTGGAATAATCTTTAAATGTATTACACATTAATTATTTTTTTCTTCTAAAATCATTAGCATTGATCTTATGATTTTGATAAAAACTTTGAACGAAGTATATTCATGTAAAAAAAATCATAATTCTGAATTAAATTACATTAAATTAACATACTGTGTTATAAAAATCATTTATAATACAGTTGATATGTTTGTTTAGATATGTTGACCACACAGAAATGTAAAAACGGGGAGCTATGCTATAATTTTGGATGGACTTAAAGGGATATATATATATTTATATATATGTATATATATTTTAACATCTTATAAATGTTTTTCTTTTTTGTATTTCTAAAAACTCTAAGAAAAATATTACTTAACTACATTCAGAATTATTTGTAGGACATATAGTTTTCTAAAGACATGTATCAAAAAATATTTCTGTTTGAAAAAATAAAGGGTTTTCGAGTTCAAAAATTGTTATTTTATCAATTTTGATGATACTTTTGTATGGAAAAAACTTCATGCATGATCAGTTGATAGTCTATCGAAAGTTTACTATTGTAAAAAAGTTGACTATTTGGGATTCAATTGGATGCGTGTGACGTCCTGAGTGTGTGTCAAACCTGATTGGCTTCTGAATCGACGAATGTCAAGATTTACTCACGATGACGTCGCCTACAAGCATCCAATTATGATTTAACGAATTTTCTTCTTCTGTTTGTTCTTTACCTCTGTTTTTTTTTTTATAAATGTGGACCTAAAATAATGCTCTTTATCTATTGGTCACATTAAGCGATTTTAATTTTGCTTGATTTTCTAGGAAATGTATGCAATGTGACAGTTGGAAATTTTCATTCTAGATTTTTGATGAAAATATTTTTGGTGATTTTCAAAAATTTTAAAAAAATATAAAAGAAATTCAACATTTCTGTTACTTAAATAATTACACTGTAAAAGATCGTGAAAATTATTGTTTTGAATGTTGCATAGATGTTTTTGATAAAGCAGACTCTTAACATAGAATATAATTTTGTTACATGATGTAATTTTGAAACCACGAAAAAATAAAATATCAAAAATGAAATATAATAATGATATGAAACAAAAATGGGAATTTTTTTGAAAGGTAGAAGTGAATAATGGAGTTCATTACAGAATGAATTTTTTTCAGTTTTTGTATTGTTTTTCATAAATTTAGTTTAATTTGCATGAAGATAATTATTTTTTTTTATATATATTCTACTTCAAAGATTTAATTTAAACCATATTTTATGCTATGAAAATAGTTGATGATATTTTTAAAAAGATAAAAGTCAGTTACTAGGAAAATTATTGATTTATATTTAAAAATTTTTAAAACCTTTGAAAATATTTTTAGCATTTTGTTAAGATTTGCTCTTTATTTAACTCTATTTTTTCAGTTCCTTAATTGCTTCCTCAAATTAGAATGTTTTATCTTGTTCTTCAGAATCTTATGAAAATTTTAAAATGTGGAACAAAATATATCCCTGACCATGCAGTTTTCTTGCAATACCGTTGCATCTGCTACAATTATCTTCTGCTGACAGAAAAAAATATTTTTTGTGTGTGTTCAATTATTTTAGAAACACAAATGTTTTCAAAATCTTCGTTGTCATCAATATACTTTTGGTTTCGCAGTTAGAGTTTAGGGTTAACTCGATGGCGCTTACCTTACCATGCGCTTAGAAAACTATATGTTCCAAAATGTAATTTCCCATGCACAACTCTATCTATAATGACCTTGCACTCACAAATACACAAAAATGCATATATTTGAACAATTGCCGCTCTACACCACACAATACACCTGCACTCAAAGTTTCGTTTGCTGATTATGGCAAGAATAATTCTTTTTTTTCACAACAGCAAGTTAGTTACTGTAGTCAATAGAGTTTTGTGCGTAAATCGTCGTAGAAAAGTTTACAAAATGTGGCATTTGACAATGGTTACTAGGATTACCAAATAAAAATTACTTTTAAATTTGTTACGTAAATTTATAGAATATTACTTTTTAATCGCCTCTTCATGCACATTTTGCAGTCATCTTCGATTTCTGATGTGAAAACGTGAATTCTTATTTTAACTAGAAGTAAAAAAAAAATTGTTTTAGATAAACTTTATAACGCTATGACTAATAATCAATATCAAAACGATATAAATCATCAATCGCAAACGGTATTATGAGGATATAAATATTAAATAGAAAACGATATTGTAAGGTTATAAATAGTAAATTGCAAATGATATTAAGGGGATATGAATAATGAATAGCAAACGATAATATGAGGATATAAATTGTGAATAGAAACAAATGGTCTAATAAAGATATAAATTATGAATATTGAACTATATAATAATGTTATATAGGACATTTGCAACAATAAAATGCCCCAAGTTTACAGATTAAGGGGAAGAACTAATGCTTCAAACGTGCATCAATATCAAAGCGATATAAATTGCCAATGGCAAACAATATTATGAGGAAATAAATATTAAATAGAAAACGATATTTTAAGATTATAAATGATATTAAAAGGATATGAGTAATGATAGAAACGATAAATTGAGCAAACGATAATTTGAGGATATAAATTGTGAATAGAAACAAATGGTTTTATGATGATTTAAATTAAGAATATTGAACTATATAATAATGTTATACAGAACATTTGCCCCAAGTTTACAGATTAAGGGGAAGAACTAGTGTATGCGTATTGATGGTGCCAAATTAAATAATTTCGAGCATATCGAATTTACGCTTTCATTTTCACAACTTTGTAATCATTACCCTTAATTACTTAAGTAATTTTTCAAATTACTTAAATTAATATTTAAGTAATTTGGTAACCCTAGCTGGCTATTTCTTCCTCAAGTAAGATATAATAGATGATATGTATCATTCCTGTGCCTTGTCAAGCAGGGAGAACAGAAATTTTACTTTAAAAATATATTCGATTTTAACCGTTTTAAAAAACGATATGTTACTTTCACAATAAAATTATTTTTATATTCGAGTATTCGCACATGCCTCTGAGCTAAGAAGATAAAAGTTTGACTAAAGTTTAAACAGTTCTATTGTAGTTTAAAGAAAGAATCAATTATTATATTTAGTACATTTGTATTTTGGGAAAATTATGTATTACAATGTGCTCTTTCCTCCTTAGTTGAGGGTATATCAACATTTTAATGTCTATGTATATGACATATACATGATTACGGATATATATATTTATTATAATCTTTTGTTATGTAGCATTTTCACCCCCGAGGCTACAAAATTCCATTATAAGTATTGTTACTACATGAACAATGTATAATTATCAAATTGAATTACAACGTTCCATAATTTTTTTTTGTCAAAACATTTCTCTCAATTTGAGATACTAAGCAGTATTTAAAAATTCTTAGCTTGCAACATTAATAGACGCAAATATCAATTTAAGCATTTATAAAGAATTCATAGTCAATTCAAATGTAACAAACTATCAATAACAACACATTCTAAAATTTGTAAAACCAACTTTTTAATATATTTTTATAATATTAAAAGTTATTAAATTAATATTTCATTAGATGGCATACATACTAATTCTTTTGATATATGCTTTTAAAATTTGTGAGTGGAGATTAATTTTATCGTTATCGTATTAATAATGGGGGAAAAAGGGGGAAATGCTACATAACTTCAGACGATAATTTAACTTGATTATAAAAAAGAAGGAAATAAAATATGTTTTTCTTTTCGATTTCGATGAAACTGTACCGTCTCTGTTTTAACATCTTTTTCTTTTTTATTTCCTCCCTTTCATTACAGGCAATGGGTTCAAGAATTTTTAATCCATGAACCCAGTGCTGACAAGCTTGTCTAAAAAGAATTTCACGTCCGCCAGCTCCGAGTCACGAATTCCAAGGGATTTCAGAAGGCTCATGTCTCCAGTTTCGACTGCCATAAAAACATTCCTCAAGTGTTCCAAATCTGATCGCATTAAATGCAGAGCTTTTCCAAAATCATCCAAAGTTTCACTTTCTGAAAGAAAGGGGAAAAAAATGGCGTTTAAATTAGGCATATTATATGCATTTTAATCAACATAAACTTGGTTTACAGAGAGTTATTTTTACTCATAATAAACGTTTCCACGTTTATATTTGAGAACACGTTACTATTTTACAGCTACCATACTTAAAACAGAGAGATTGGTCAGGTATTCACTTTTTCACAAAATTATTTAGATTTCTTTTTATAACGATATTTTAAATTTAAAATTTCCACTTAAGATTGACGTCATGCGATTGTTAACAGGCTTTTTATTTGAAAACTATTAGTTATAGAGAGGTAGTGTGACCAACCCGATAGCAGAATTTGCAGAGTCAATTTGTTCCATAATTTTTAAAAATCTATATACATATTTCTCTTACACGGCGACAAAAAAAGCCTCATTACAACTCCTCGAATGGCAGTGCTAGAAAATCGACCAATGATTGCCGCTAAAAATGTTACATGCCAAATCTAGTTGAGATGGCTCAACATATAGCGCTTTTAAAAACGGAAACGGAAATAACCAGAGAGAGCATAAGCTAGGCAGAAGTGAGTAGTCTTTGTCGATAGATCTCTATTTTAGTATTTTGTCGAAAGCGCTTTTTTCACGAATTTATATATTACGAATTTATGATATAAGATTGCGTAGCAATTTTTGGGCGTTAGCGAGCAGGGGGCGCGGTCCACTAGTTTTTTGTTTGTGTTACTAACGCAGTTAGATAAGGAGTATTTTAAAAATTAGGCTTAGCTTGTTAGTGTTAAATACTAACAAGCGTACAGCAAAATTAGCACATTTTAGGTAGATAGAAAATATGCATAAAAATTGTTATTTTGAATTAAAAATTTTATACACTTTTAAATAAATGGAATAATTGGAATTTTAAAAATGGTATAAGTTCCTATTCAGCCTATAAACATGAGATTTAAGTTTTCTCAAAAATTAAGAATTTTTTTAAAATGTTTCTTTTTTTTAAAAATATTTTATTTTTTTAAAACTCTAGTTAAGTAAAGAACACTACTTAATAAGGAATTTGTGGAAGTCATCTCTTTTATTTTGCTTATATATCTGAAAAGAGGTAAAACTTTTTGTTAAGGACCTAAAACAAATAGGTATTGAATAAAAAAAAAATTTCTGTTTCTCTTTTATTAATATTTCAGGTTTAATTTTTTAAATCTGAGATGAAAAACAATCTTCCAGTTCACTGATAATTTTTAATTTTCAACTCTGAGACGAAAAATTATCTGCAGATGCTCTGATAATCTGCAGCGCTCTCTGCTATGCTGAAGGATTTCTGTTATAGGGGCGATCACTACCTAATTCAAAACCCATTTTTATTAAAATTTACATTAGATGATTAAAATTGAATACATCTTTCAAAATATTTCTCTTTGAGGCAGGGTTGTGCTTAGGGGAAAATAAATTTATTTTTTGAAATTAGCTACGATAATTTGACTTTGAATTTGGAAAAATATTTAATGGTGAGCGATGCTTATGTGTTTAGATGCTCAGGGAAAACTTATATATTAGATGATACTGAAAAAATGAGTGAAATCACAGTAAGGAAAAAAATTATTTTGAAACAAAATAATAAGCATTGGAAAGAAAAATTTAATTATACATTTTGAATACCTTTTTATACAACGTGATTAGAAATTTAACTAAGGTAAAAAAAAAAAAATCTTCAGCAAAACTTTGTTAACTTAGCATTTAAAAATGCTATTTGAATTTCAATTTTTATGATCTAAAACTTCATTTGTTTAAAAACGAAACTAAATAATATGATAAGGGATCATATTATTCATCATAAAATATTTTGATTTAACTAAAAATTAATTTTTTTTATAAAAATTGATTATAAAATAAAAACAATAATAGATCAAAAGTTTTAATGCTCATAGCTGTCAATTGACATTTTATTTCCTCCCTTTACATTAATATGCAATTCTTAAATTATTTTTAAAAGTTTAACATTACAAATATGATTTAATCATAGTTGGATTTCAGCTTTTCAGTGTTTCATATTTATTAATTTTTAACATTTTACCACTGTAATTTGTATCAGAGGTAGGTTAATGAAAAAGGTGAGCAACAATTTTATGAAATTTGAGTTATTGTCAATACACTAAAATAGTGTCCTGGCGCTGTTTTGATATACACCGAAGAGACATTACATTATGACCACCCTGCTAATAACATGCAGTCTGAGGTATCTGGTACCAAGCGCTCACCAACTGGTCCTGCAATTCCCTCAGATTGCAAGGGGGTAGCGATAATGTTTGATA